AACACCACATGTTAGTCTCAGCTGGAAACTCCGCTCGCATAATGTATGTGAGAGTTTCAAAGTACGAGAACTTGTTTCCGCCCATTGTGTATTTGTTGGCGTGTGTGTAAGATGCTTGATATGCGTTCTGGCACGGCTATAATATGTCGTCTATCATTTTCTCAAAAGACCTAATTCCTGCAGAGGTATGCTGTCACTTTCTTAAACTGTGTCTTCAACATTGACATCCTCTTGGTCCTCATCTCCAGCAGGGCGACATACCCTCCTCTGTATACTGGGATGCCACTACGGTGACAACAGGGCTCTACATAACTTGCACTAAACTACTCATCTGACACTGTTGCTCTCTAGTCCCCATTACAATTCTAAACACTCGGTCCACACAGTCGTCTAAGGCGCCGAAATTCGCTGTGCACGCCATGTTGTTACTGAAACACCGCTCAAAACAGCGTCAAATACATTCACTCACTCATTCATAACCATGTGCCAACATCTGACTTACTCAACACATACCATGTTCCAACATCTGACTTGCTCAACACTTACCATGTGCCGACATAAGACTTACTCAACACTTACCATGTGCCGACATCTGACTTGCTCAACACTTACCATGTTCCAACATCTGACTTGCTCAACACTTACCATGTGCCAACATCAGACTTGCTCAACACTTACCGTGTGCCGACATCTGACTTGCTCAACACCTACCATGTGCCGACATTAGACTTGCTCAACACTTACCATGTGCCGACATCTGACTTGCTCAACACTTACCATGTGCCGACATTAGACTTGCTCAACACTTACCATGTGCCGACATTAGACTTGCTCAACACTTACCATGTGCCGACATCTGACTTGCTCAACACTTACAATGTGCTGACATCTGACTTGCTCAACACTTACCATGTGCCAACATCTGACTTGCTCAACACTTACCATGTGCCGACATCTGACTTGCTCAACACTTACCATGTGCCGACATCAGACTTGCTCAACACTTACCATGTGCCGACATTAGACTTGCTCAACACTTACCATGTGCCTACATCTGACTTGCTCAACACTTACCATGTGCCGACATCAGACTTACTCAGCACTTACCATGTGCCGACATCTGACTTACTCAACACTTACCATGTGCCGACATCTGACTTACTCAACACTTACCATGTGCCGACATCTGACTTACTCAACACTTACCATGTGCCGACATCAGACTTACTCAGCACTTACCATGTGCCAACATCAGACTTACTCAACATATACCATGTGCCGACATCTGACTTGCTCAACACTTACCATGTGCCGACATCTGACTTACTCAACACTTACCATGTGCCGACATCTGACTTGCTCAACACTTACCATGTGCCGACATCTGACTAGCTCAACATTTACCATGTGCCAACATCTGACTTGCTCATCACTTACCATGAGCCGACATCTGACTTGCTCAACACTTACCATGAGCCGACATCAGACTTACTCAACACTTACCATGTGCCGACATTAGACTTGCTCAACACTTACCATGTGCCTACATCTGACTTGCTCAACACTTACCATGTGCTGACATCTGACTTGCTCAACACTTACCATGTGCCAACATCTGATTTGCTCAACACTTACCATGTGCCTACATCTGACTTACTCAACACTTACCATGTGCCGACATCTGACTTGCTCAACACTTACCATGTGCCAACATCTGACTTGCTCAACACTTACCATGAGCCGACATCTGACTTGCTCAACACTTACCATGTGCCGACATCTGACTTGCTCAACACTTACCATGTGCCTACATCTGACTTGCTCAACACTTACCATGTGCCGACATCAGACTTACTCAGCACTTACCATGTGCCGACATCTGACTTACTCAACACTTACCATGTGCCGACATCTGACTTACTCAACACTTACCATGTGCCGACATCTGACTTACTCAACACTTACCATGTGCCGACATCAGACTTACTCAGCACTTACCATGTGCCAACATCAGACTTACTCAACATATACCATGTGCCGACATCTGACTTGCTCAACACTTACCATGTGCCGACATCTGACTTACTCAACACTTACCATGTGCCGACATCTGACTTGCTCAACACTTACCATGTGCCGACATCTGACTAGCTCAACATTTACCATGTGCCAACATCTGACTTGCTCATCACTTACCATGAGCCGACATCTGACTTGCTCAACACTTACCATGAGCCGACATCAGACTTACTCAACACTTACCATGTGCCGACATTAGACTTGCTCAACACTTACCATGTGCCTACATCTGACTTGCTCAACACTTACCATGTGCTGACATCTGACTTGCTCAACACTTACCATGTGCCAACATCTGATTTGCTCAACACTTACCATGTGCCTACATCTGACTTACTCAACACTTACCATGTGCCGACATCTGACTTGCTCAACACTTACCATGTGCCAACATCTGACTTGCTCAACACTTACCATGAGCCGACATCTGACTTGCTCAACACTTACCATGTGCCGACATCTGACTTATTCAACACTTACCATGTGCCGACATCTGACTTACTCAGCACTTACCATATGCCGACATCTGACTTACTCAACACTTACCATGTGCCAACATCTGACTTGCTCAACACTTACCATGTGCCAACATCTGACTTACTCAACACTTACCATGTTCCAACATCTGACTTACTCAACACTTACCATGTTCCAACATCTGACTTGCTCAACACTTACCATGTGCCGACATCTGACTTGCTCAACACTTACCATGTGCCGACATCTGACTTACTCAACACTTACCATGTTCCAACATCTGACTTGCTCAACACTTACCATGTGCCAACATCTGACTTGCTCAACACTTACCATGTGCCGACATCTGACTAGCTCAACACTTACCATGTGCCAACATCTGACTTGCTCATCACTTACCATGAGCCGACATCAGACTTACTCAACACTTACCATGAGCCGACATCTGACTTGCTCAACACTTACCATGTGCCGACATCTGACTTACTCAACACTTACCATGTTCCAACATCTGACTTGCTCAACACTTACCATGTGCCGACATCTGACTTGCTCAACACTTACCATGTGCCAACATCTGACTTGCTCATCACTTACCATGAGCCGACATCAGACTTGCTCAACCCTTACCATGTGCCTACATCTGACTAGCACAAAACTTACCATGTGCCAACATCTGACTTGCTCAGCAGTTACCATGTGCCGACATCAGACTTACTCAACACTTACCATGTGCCAACATCTGACTTGCTCAACACTTACCATGTGCCAACATCTGACTTGCTCAACACTTACCATGTGCCGACATCTGACTTGCTCAACACTTACCATGTGCCAACATCTGACTTGCTCAGCACTTACCATGTGCCGACATCAGACTTACTCAACACTTACCATGTGCCAACATCAGACTAGCACAACACTTACCATGAGCCGACATCAGACTTACTCAACACTTACATGAGCCGACATCAGACTTGCTCAACCCTTACCATGTGCCTACATCTGACTTGCTCAACATATACCATGTGCCGACATCTGACTTGCTCAACACTTACCATGTGCCAACATCAGACTTACTCAACACTTACCATGTGCCGACATCAGACTTACTCAACACTTACCATGTGCCGACATCTGACTTGCTCAACATATACCATGTGCCAACATCTGACTTATTCAACACTTACCATGTGCCAACATCTGACTTATTCAACACTTACCATGTGCCAACATATGACTTACTCAACACTTACCATGTGCCAACATCTGACTTATTCAACACTTACCATGTGCCGACATCAGACTTACTCAACACCTACCATGTGCCAACATCTGACTTACTCAACACTTACCACGTGCCGACATCAGACTTACTCAACACATACCATGTGCCGACATCAGACTTGCTCAACACTTACCATGTGCTGACATCTGACTTGCTCAACACTTACCATGTGCCGACATCAGACTTACTCAACACTTACCATGTGCCGACATCTGACTTGCTCAACAGTTACCATGTGCCGACATCAGACTTGCTCAACATATACCATGTGCCGACATCTGACTTGCTCAACACTTACCATGTGCCGACATCTGACTTGCTCAACACTTACCATGTGCCGACATCTGACTTGCTCAACACTTACCATGTGCCGACATCAGACTTACTCAACACTTACCATGTGCCGACATCTGACTTGCTCAACAATTACCATGTGCCGACATCAGACTTGCTCAACACTTACCATGTGCCGACATCTGACTTGCTCAACACTTACCATGTGCCGACATTAGACTTGCTCAACAGTTACCATGTGCCGACATCAGACTTGCTCAACATATACCATGTGCCGACATCTGACTTGCTCAACACTTACCATGTGCCGACATCTGACTTGCTCAACACTTACCATGTGCCGACATCTGACTTGCTCAACATATACCATGTGCCGACATCTGACTTGCTCAACACCTACCACGTGCCGACATCAGACTAGCACAACACTTACCATGTGCCAACATCTGACTTATTCAACACTTACCATGTGCCGACATCAGACTTACTCAACACCTACCATGTGCCAACATCTGACTTACTCAACACTTACCACGTGCCGACATCAGACTTACTCAACACTTACCATGTGCTGACATCTGACTTGCTCAGCAGTTACCATGTGCCAACATCAGACTTACTCAACACATACCATGTGCCAACATCTGACTTGCTCAACACTTACCATGTGCCGACATCTGACTAGCACAACACTTACCATGTGCCAACATCTGACTTGCTCAGCAGTTACCATGTGCCGACATCAGACTTGCTCAACACTTACCATGTGCCAACATCAGACTTGCTCAACACTTACCATGTGCCGACATCAGACTTGCTCAACACTTACCATGTGCCGACATCAGACTTACTCAACACTTACCATGTGCCGACATCTTTAATGCAGCCCACCCTGGTGAAAAGCCCGAGCAGGTTCTTCTCAATGAGAACGTCCAGTGTGACCTGGTCACTGAGATCGTGGTTGATTGTTCCATCAAGGGTCACGGTCATATCTCCGGGAAGCTTGATGGGGGTGGGGGTGATGTCGAACTGCTTCACGGAAACCCAGGAGTCGCCAACACCTGACATGGAGACACAAACAACATAATTATATCTTTTTCAGAATCAAGGAAAACAAGGATGGTTTAAACATTTGTCGTTGTAAGTAACTTGTATAGATTGCATGCAGCTACTCCAGATAGACATGACCACATAACATATCGAGGCATACATTGAAGCATATAGACTCAGATGGACTCAGGTATGTACACATAACATATCGAGGCATGCCTTGAAGCATAAAGACTCAGATGGACTCAGGTATGTACACATAACATATCGAGGCATGCCTTGAAGCATATAGATTCAGTTGGACTCAGGCATGTACACATAACATATCGAGGCATGCCTTGAAGCATATAGACTCAGATGGACTCAGGCATGTACACATAACATATCGAGGCATGCCTTGAAGCATATAGACTCAGATGGACTCAGGCATGTACACATAACATATCGAGGCATGCCTTGAAGCATATAGACTCAGATGGACTCAGGCATGTACACATAACATATCGAGGCATGCCTTGAAGCATATAGACACAGATGGACTCAGGCATGTACACATAACATATGGAGACATGCTTTACGGCATGTAGGCTCAAACAGACGTAGACATGTTCACATAATCGAAGCGGTTAAACCAAAGATTTCATCTGTGTGATTTCAATAGATTCTGACTATTTGATACAGATCTGATCAATTTTATTTTAAATGATTTCTAACAGTAAAACACAATCAATTATGGGGTTGTATATATATGTTCGTTGATGAGTTTCTTTATCATCTCGATGATAATATGTAGTTTTTTCAAAACATATGGGGGCACGGGTGGCCCAGTCGTCTAAGGCGCCGCGATTCGCTGTGCAGAGTTGCGTCCCTTGGTCACTCCAGAAACCTATGATTGTGGGTTCGAATCCCGGTTCGCCACGATTATGTTTCTAGGTTTGTCAGCACCATACCCGTGCTCGTGGGTTTCACCGAAGTGGTAAACGCCAGAGACCTGCATCACTTCGGGCTTTCCTCCCACACTAGGCTGACATGCCGTGATATAACTGGAATACTGTTAAAAGCGGTGTTAAACCCAACTTACTCACTCAAAACATATGGTCAGCGTCCACAATATATCTGAGTGAAGAAAGTTTAACGCCCCTTTGAATACTATTTCAGTTATATGACGGTATGTCAGCTTGACGTGGGAGGGAAGCCTCAAATGTCTGTAGGTTTTAGACGTGGGAGAGAAGCCTCGAAGGTCTGTAGGTTTTAGACGTGGGAGGGAAGCCTCGAAGCCTCAAAGGTCTGTAGTTTTTTAGGTGGAAGGGGAGCCTCGAAGGTCTGCAGGTTTTAGGCGTGTAAGGTCTGCAGGTTTAAGACGTCATCACTCAGGACATGGATATGCAGCTGACACAACAAGAATCGTACTCAAGGCGAATATTGGAAACGAACCGACGATCATTGATATATTATATATTGCTGACGTTGCGACGAGAAAATATGAAGTCGCTCACGCACTTTACATACCACAGTCCCTCCACTCTATAGTGCCGGTGTCTGTGAATCCTGGGCGGGCCCCCAGGGCAGGAACGATGAGAGCTACGACCAACAGCAACATGATAAACCTTAGCTGACCGAGTAGAGCCAGACACTGACTGGCAACCTGTATATACACTCCGATAGCGAGGGAGAGTCCACCCCCGTGACCGTAGGGGCGATACCAGGGGGTCGTCGGACCAGGTTGCCCGAGTTGACACGTTCTGAATACATCACTGACGTCTTAATCACATCTAGTTCACAGATGCACTGGTTATTATATTATATTATATTATATATTAAATAGTATATGCTTTGGGAAGCATTCAGTTGTAATACCTTAGTTGTAAACCTGAGACGTCAATCCGTCACTCTGGGACTCAACATATGGTAGATTACATAGTATGTTGCCTGATATACTTTTTAAAAATTCCTGTACATGACTGACTATCATGGGAAATAATAAAGCAACACAAACAAAGAACGACATTGAAACAAAACAATATATTGATGTCAGTGAAACATTAAAACAGAGGCCTGTCGTACGTAGCTGGACCAACTTCCCTGGTTGGCTTGGAACTAACCGGCGCTGCATTTTATCCCACACTGATGTAAAGTGATGTGACGTCCATGGATCTGAAGGAACGGGGGGGGGGGGGGGGGGGGGGGGGGGTGTGCTTGAGGGTTAACGGATAAGTTAATCACGGTACGGTGTACCTGTTCACATTTCTATCGAACACCACCTGAGAGGTCATGTGATGTGCAGTGATGGTTCCCCGGGGTGCAGAACGTTGAACGTCTGGTTAACGCTCCATCCTACGTCGATGAACACGCACGCTGACAGCCATTATTGCTTCGATGCTGTCAAGAAACCTGCACTCATCTGCGAAGTGGACTAACAGCCGATCCTTGTAATCTCAACTTTTGATTGACCATGCCAGGCGTGAAGTTCAGTGACGTTGCAGCAAAGTGACGTACACATAGAAGTCGTTGTCGGATGTTATGCTCCCGTTATCGATTCCTTACAGTCAAGCCTTACAGCGCTAAGCAGACATAAACCAGGGATGCTGCTGACAGCCAAAGTTGCAATCTGAAACCGATTTCAAAGTAGGCACAATTTATGGATAACAACTTCTTTTTTAACTTAAAGGCGACGTTTTGTTATAGATCCTTATGCCGTTGTCAAGCAAGACTGAATTAATTACCAAGGTCCAGAATATATGTAGTAGGTGGAGGATTGACAGTAAGAACAATTGCAAACATGAGAGAGATTAACATGAACAGGTTAAGTAAGTAATGACAACAGAAGGATAATACTGTAACGTGATGAACAGGGAACACACGATGCGTCTTCCAGGAAGCTAAACGACGAGGTCTAAAGGCAAGTCTTACAGTTGACAGACTTTATATAAATGATCGCAGATGCTACTCTGGTGATGACCCGTTCGAGCAAACCGAATCAGACCATCACACAGCGACCTTCATATGCCACAATCATCGATAGACAGCCTGAGAAAATTCGTAGGATCCACGTGGACGAGAATGCCGGTACTTTGTAGGCAAACAGACTTTACTTGTACACCAGTCAGATATATTTTACGCCTGTTTCCTAAGGTTCAAGGATCGTATGTTGAAAACATAAAATTGTTCTTGTAAATGTTGTTTCGGATTTGTTAATAAGTTTGTTTGTAATTAGATACAACTCCGAAACGTCTTAGGCGCAGAAAATGTTGGGTGTTTACATTGAATTGATGCACGTTCAGTCTCTGGAACCTGATGATGAACCTACGCCTCATTACCCGTTACCAAACATATATAAACTTTGTTTCGTCTGAGTTATTACATGGTGGATACCTTGCAGACTGAGGTTCCTGGGTTCCCATCTTGGATGACACCTTAGATATGCAAGATGTTGATGGATGATGTTTTCAATGCTCTTCAGACTTTTGCAGTACTGTGACACTGAATACTGTTTGGGGGTTATGTTCTTTGTATATACCACTCACCACTTACGCACTTTATGACCGGATTTCATTCGGATCTATCATTTTGTAATATAAACATAGTTTCGTGGCTTCTTTTATTTTCCTGAGAGGCTGTAGACCAGTTTCTTTGCATAATTTACAATGGCTTGCACCACGTGTTTCACGACATATTGTTCTCGAGGCATCAAGATGAAGCGCCTCTCAAAGTAGTTCAAGAGATATAACATTATCCCATATATTGAAGTGGTAAGTGAGTACAAGCAAAATAATAGATAAATACATTGTTTCCAGCGTTTTCCCGAACTCAAGCGGTACTCTTCATCAAGTAATTAATCATAGGACTAGCTTTCTTATCATTTTTACTGATATGTTCTTGCCGCATTCAGTTCATGATTTACAGTATCTACATAAACTCTTCTAAATGTTGACTGCAATCTGTTTAGTTTACACATAGATAGGCATTATGTCACTGAAACACACTTGATAATTTTCAACACATAAATACTGCATTTATATCTGACCCCTCTGATGTACACCTCTCAAGTACCAGCTTGCCTCTTTCAGCTATCATAGATGGTGTTGATGACGAATTAAGTGCACACATACGCACTGGTAAAAAAATCAATCTTGAGTTGTGAGTATTCTCGGCTGCTCCAAGTGAGAGCGTGTTACTACATCTTGTCCATCTTGAGTAAACGCCGAAGTCCTAAAGAAATGAATCAGATAACAGACTGGACATCAACTTTTATGAATTATGTTGGTATTTACATTCAAAGAATCCTTCAGCTGTCCATGGGCTATTCAAATACACTAAACTACGGTTATAACGAGCTCTAAGGGACCAGTAATTCTAGTTCTTTATAACTGTAATTCGTTATAAGCATATATACAGCATATATAAGCAAATGGCTGGAACTAAAAAAAAACAGTTCGTTATATCCATCCGTCTGTACGCTATGAACGTGTCCGTTATAAACGTAGTTTACAGTATATGAATACCATTTATCAAGCTCCTGTCCGTCAGAGTGTAAGATGAACATTTCAGATTATGTCACCACACAATCCAGCAAACCTATGAGGGCAAAACTGAGTTTGTGAGTGAGTGAGTTGGCTTTAATGCCGCTTTTAATAGTATTCCAGCTTACTGTGGCGTGTCATCTTGATGTGGGGGGAAAGCCCGAAGTGATGCAGGTCTCAGACGTTTACCACTTCGGTGCAACGCACGACCACGGGTATGATACTGACAAGCCTAGAAACATAATCAGTGCAAACCGGGATTCGAACCCACAATCATAGGTTTCTGGCATGCCCAAAGGACGCAACTCTGCACAGCGAATCGCGGCGCCTTAGACGACTTGGCCACGCGTGCAGGGCAAGAGGAATCTTGTAGATGTCGTATGTGCACACTCCATATATCTAGGAAAGTCCAAGTTCATGTATGTGCAAACACGGTGATCAATCAAAGTATGGAAGCTCATTTCACGGTCAGTTCCCACGTCTTGTCCTCACATGCAATCAGTTCAACCAAAGCCAGTGATATCGACAAAGGTGCTCATTTTGCGACATCTGCTCCAACTGTGAAAACAAACATCCAGCACAGTGATGCTCTCCACTCGGTTCAGCCTCCAACCAGTTCCATCTGCGACAGACACTGATGAAAGTTCAAGTATTTAGCTGCAAGGCCTAATGGTTCTGATTTTTTCTTTTGACGTATAAACAGGATATCCGTATTCTGCAATGGTATCACAATCTAACAAGTTTTTTAGGAATTATATCATGATTCAGCTACAAGGAATACCTTCTCCAAGTATCCTAATAATGCACCTTGGTTCTTAACTGATCGCATTAAATCAACTCAGGATAATGCATCCGAAATAACGTTGTCTTTGCCTTTGATATGCTTGTTGTCTAAATCACATTCTTGCAAAGACAGGCTCCAGCGCATAAGGCGTTGATGAGTGAGTGAGTATGGTTTTACACCGCTTTTAGCAATATTCCAGCAATATCATGGCGGGGGACACCTGAAATGAGCTCCACACATTGTACCCAGTCGGGAATCGAACCCGGGTCTTCGGCGTGACGAGCGAACGCTTTAACCACTAGGCTACCCGACCGCCCCTTCATTTTATGAAGGAAAGCCAGTGGATTGTGATCAGTGTTCAGTTGAATAACTTTCAAGCTTGATTCATCCGGTAGGGATGTTGTTTCACAGGCACAGCGCCATCTACATCTACATCATGACACACTAAATCTGTATGGTCAGGCACATCCGTGAACAAGTGAGCAAACAATTAACTCTGACACTTCAGCCTTTTGCTCAGAATTTGACTTAAGTATCCAGAGTTAGCCGAAACTCCAGAATTGTTTAGCTTAGGGCTAGTATAGTCAGCAATGTCATCAAACTTGGCAAAGTCACAATTCACATCAGTATCAAAATCTGATGCAATATGCAAAGGAGAAACAGTGGCAACACACTGAGTAGGTGCAGGAGTTTTCCCTCCGTAACAAAACTAACTGCTCAGAACTAGGTACTGATTCCTCAACAGCCAAACTGTCAGAATTTTGAGTACTCTCCCTCGAAAATTTACACAGGTCATCAAAATTATCCATAAAAGTGCCAACCAAATCACAACTGGAATCATTATCGGAGGAACATTGAGAAAATCTTTTAAAATGTTATATGGTAGACATGTGGAGGACATTTCCCTATTTGACCTATGTCCGATGCAGTTCCCTATATTGACTTGTGCCACTTGTTCCCGTGTTGTCTCAGGTGAACAATTCTCTTGACTTTGCATATATTTGTGACGGATGCTACCGGTGGGGCAGGATACTCTCACCGTTTCGCGAACACTGTTTGATAGTGATTCATAAATTCATTTTCATGATATAGTCGGAATTGTAGAATCGACTCTGCTTTATGCAGAGCTATCTATTGAATATGGAAAGGGTTTTGTCACTTTATTTACCTAGCCATAGCACGAGTAACACCACACAAAGGAAAAATACCCGGAATTTATTTTTCAGTACTTTCCGAAACGTTAGGCTCAAGACAAACAATCAGCCAAATATCTTCTCCCTGCCAAATCATTCCCAATAAGCAAGTCTACACCTTTTAACAGGTAGGGTTTCTACAACCCCCACCTTGAACGACACAGTTACAATCACTGTTAAACAATAAAATACACTGCCATGTAACACTTGGTAAACCAGCGGATTGGTTAGCTGAATCACAGAGTCAACAGCATTCTTTATTTGCGATCAGTTTTATCATAGGTAAAGTAAACATTTGGTCAGAGGTTCTACCCAGGCTGTACTGTCATGGTGTTCTCAGTCCCAAAGCAATGAAAGTCACGTTGGAGACTTAGTAGAGCAGGTGTGAAAGGAGGTATCCATGCCATCAGGTTACCATGTGAGCAACTGGTATGTACAGACAAAAGCAAAAGCATTTCGTCATGGATCTTGACGCACAAACTAGGGTTTTCAAAGCTTAGAAAACTTGGCAACTGGTAATATTTGTTAACATGAGACTTGAGAGTGATGTGTAGGACAACATAGAGCAGGTTGACATTGTTAGGTAAGGTTAAAATAAGTTTTGGTTACAGTTCACAAAGCTGGGTTGTATTTTTCACAGTATCAATTTATATATGTTCGTCAGTTGAAAAGTATAACTGGCACAGGTACTGGAGGGTGGGGTTTGTGGTGGGATACTTGTGGCTTGGGATGGTGAGTATCGGTTTGGGGTCGTTTGCGGCTTTCCACACTTGGCCTCGTTTACTGTTAATGATGGTTGGATTAAACATTATGTGACAACATTTCTTTGTATGCCACACGTTTTGTTCAATGCTACAGAGAGCATGTGCGCGATTACATCACCTGACCTATTTATTTTTTAATTTGGTCATCGTGACAAGGCAAGGTTACCGAGAAAGTTACAGTAGAACACGGATATAACGAACTACTAGGGACCAGAGAAATCAGTTCGTTATATCCGTTGTTCGTTATACACGTTTTCGCTCGGAAACGTCCGCCATCTTGGATAAGACAAAACACAATACACACTTAACTGCAGCATTGATTTGTATTAGCAGTGATCATTCAACTGATATCAATTTACAACATTCATTTAATAACATTAAATTCATAACATTTTCTGAAGATTGTTATCAAATACATGTACACAATTTAAACATATTTATCATTTTTCGATTAACATACGAATTGTGTAGTCTGTGATTTTACTTTGGCCTCGTTTCGCTGACTGCATTCTTGAAACGGCATCGTTCAGATCCGCCAAACTGTCAAAAACTGTTTGTTTTACAGACAAGATTACATGTACAGGTAAGATTAACACAAAGCAAATTTAACAAGGTCAATCCATCACAACTGATTGTATTGATTCGCCGCCATTGTTTTGATTTGCCGCTGATTGCATACAGCCAATTGTCAGTGACACTTGACACTGAGTGAGATTTCTCAGTTCGCTATACACGTCGCTAATAAGTGATAAATGGGCTTGTCGGTGATCAGGTATCAGTTCGCTGTATCCGTTAGTTCTATATAGAGACTTTCGTTATATACGTAAATTTTATATGATATTATATAGGAGATAAATCGGGGATTTTTTAACAGTTCGTTGTATCCGTTTGTTCGCTATATCCGTGTTCGTTATATCCGTGTTCTACTGTAGTTTGACTATTGTCAATATTGTTATATAAATATATAACGTCAATACAAGAGAATCTTAATTATCCACCTGTGCAGGTTCCATTTGATGATAAGGGAAAATAACATGAGTTTACTTTAGTTGTTTTTTTCTGACTAAGCTGATTTGCATGTATTACATTACAAATTAAACATTTTAATAATTTAATAACTGTTTGTCCAAATGTGTTAGC